TAATAATAATAATAATAATAATAATAATAATAATAATAATTATTATTATTATAAGGTTATAATACTATTTTTAAAACCTGATACAAAAATTTACTTTTTGCTTTGTTATACTATGTAACGCATTCTTTGCATTGTACTTCAGCGTATATTACCAAGGTTATAATTTAGTCAGAAGCATTTACAAATTACCTGACTGTCAGATATTTTTAGAATGAAAATATAAATGGATTTATTTACAGATGGAAAATATCAATGATGTATAAGGGTCACAGTTCAGCTCTTCAAATTACATGTACAACAGTTTTTTTTTTCATCTAGTATACATGTTATTTTTTCTAAATAAATTCTAAACTACATTTTTGTTGTGGAAATGTTTTAAGGTCTCTATTATCAGATTAATTAATTAAACTCTTTTTAAAAACTGAAGAAAATGGTTTAGTAGTTTTTATTTTAATTTTATAGCAGCTTGTTTTTGAGGCCATCAGTGTTGCAGTATTGGTAGTATCGTAACTGTAAATAATTTTATTGAGTTGGTGAAATATTTACAAAGATATTCTCAAAGACAAGAAATAATCCCAGTCCTCTGGGGGGAAAAAACACACTGACTGGGAAAGGGCGTCATCTAGTGGGTGTTTGGTGTAAACGCGTTTGTACCACGTTTTAGCTAGTATTACTGCATGTTAATAACAATAATAATGCACTTGGTATCATGTGTTTGCTAACATTTGCTTCCTAAACGGGGACCCTAAAACATGGTGGACACCACTGCTTAGGTTATGGTTTGCCTTGTGAGGATTTGCAGCAGGTGTGCTGTCAAACGAAAATAAAGATCATTTCTTAATTTGCTGGTGTTTTTTGTAATTCCACATGTTTTCTTAAATTGCAGCATGTTTAGCTTTCTCGGCCACCTTATAAAGCCCTGTTTACTGAAATAACATAACCCTGCAGAAAGATTTGTAAAGGATTTGAAGCTTCATGGAGAAATACCTCAAAATTAGCCATCACTAGCACTGGCTTGACTGAGAGGCGTTCCAAAGATGGCCCTTGAGTGAAAGGACTTTCCTTAAAGGGACTAAAAGCAGTTTGATTTGAATAAATTCTGACTCTATATGTGTATTTTTGTTTGTGTGTGTAGGCGTGACTGTGATTGATAAGCCTCTCTGAGCAGCGGTGGACTCGTTGAACACTGGAGCTGAAGCTGAAGTACAGCAGATGATTCGCTCACACTGAAGCTCTTTCTCGACTGACGCTTCATCCTGGAGTTGCTTCACTATGGACATGGCCTGGAGAAATACTACTCTCTCTCTTTCTCTCTCTCTCTCTCCCTCCCTCCCTCTCGCTCTCTCTCTCACACACACACATACACACACACAAACACACACTCATTCAAACCCGCATTCACACACTACTTCTTTCGTTCTTTAATCCAAACTCTCACACACTCTAGATCTCTCTTTTCTTTCTGTTCCTCTTGTTTGAGAGTAGTGATTGGTGATGTTTATTGCACTTTGCGGAGCACTGACGAAGCAGAATCTGGAGTGTATATTTGGCCAGCGCGTCTGAGACGTGATCAGAGCGTTCCTGCGGTTGAGCTGTTGGGATGGCCAGACATTTTATGCTGCTTGATCTTTTGATCCGAAGGAACCCCTTGAGGGTTTTTGCTTATTCAGATAAAGCCTGAAGAAGAAAAGGTGTCTAGTTTTTAGGACCAGCACTTTGTTGCCTCGTGGAAGGTTGTTCTTGAAGCCACTGGACTTCAACTGTCTTTGTTATGAAGCTCGGATGATGGCGGTGATGATGTGAATTGCGTTTTATGGTTGGAGCTGAAATTTTGCTTGGCTATATGTGAGAAGGGTTGCCATCGAAGATGAACAAACTTTAACATTTCTGCGAATTGTTTGCCAAATAACATTTGAAGTCTTAACGTTTTGAACTGTCCGTTGTTGTGTTATGTTTGGTTTTTTCTTTTAATATCCTCTGGCTTTTTTTGTTTTTGTGGTCCGGTTGTTCGGGAATTGCAATCTATGACATATTTGAGACGTTGACATGAATGCTTCAGCTTGCACGATCCTGTGGACTGATGCTGGATGCTTGGGTATTAAAAACCGCTTTGCATGGTTCTCAATACTGATGTTTGTGTGCCATTCTAAACTACTGCTGTACTCACTAACCAACGTGACGTGCTCTCTGTACTAGCGGTATTGAACACTGAAGACGTATAAAGGTACTGTTTCTTTAATAATCTCCATTTTCTTTTGTTTCTCTTGATCTCGCTCTTCTTTCCTGTTTTGTTTTCTGTCATTTCTGTCCACTTTTTAATGGCTTTCTCTATTCTGCTCTTGCTGTTTAGTATTGAACTCTCTCTTTAACTACTGTCACCAAGCCTATTAATGAATATATATATATATATATATACAACAGTGTATTATTAATTGTCAGTCAAGAGGAATGTTGTGTTCTTGAAGTTTCATAACTTGTTTTATATCATTAATAATAAACATGCTTCTAGTAAATACATCTAATCGTGGAGGAGTGTCAGTTCATATTAAGGGAAGTTTATTTATTTATAAGTTTATTTATTTATAACTAATTTCGAGAGGATCACGTGGTTATGATTGACCACAGCTGGTCCCGCATTAGCTAATACATGATCTTCCAATCAGATGATACCGAAGTCACTATAAATAACCACAGTCTTTATTCCACAACCACCCTCCTCCCCTTCCCCTTGCCTCACAGCAAGAATACTGTCGGCTCTGGTCCCCACAGGGCTGGTTTCCGTTTCTGTGCAGAGTTTGCATGATCCCTGAGTTCTCCGTCCAAACCGTCCAAAGACATGCGTCATACAGAAACCGACTAAGCCAAATGGGCACCATAGTCTAGTTCCCAGCATCAGTATTTCCTTCTCAAATAGTTGACCTTTTAGTCATATCAGTGGGTGACTTTTTGAGATCTACACAAGCTCAATCTCTCCTCTCGCCCTGCGAAAGGGAGGGAGCCCTGGTTTCAAGGATCCCTTAAGCTCAGGGCTCTTTCCTGGGACAGCATGCCAAACACACTTATTATAAATCCTAACTTAAGTGTGAAATGCAGAACAATTTAATGTTAGTTTGCTGATTGTTTGTATATTATAAACTTACTGTAAGGCTTCGGTTTAAGTAACAATTCTCACTATTAACTTGTGGCTTTTTACCTGCCTGTTATTAAGATATTGCCTGTTTATTAGTACTAATAAAGTACATATTCGGCATAATCCTATTCTACACCCCTGATGATTTAATAACTTAATAACTAGCTTAATAACTATTAATAAGCAGCAAATTAGGAGTTTGTTAAGCTAAAAGTAATTTATTAATAGCAATAAATTGCAAACAATTGTACCTTTAAAAAATAAAGTGTTACCAAACTTTTAAATGTATGTTTTGGTAATTACTGTGCATATTTGGTACTAAAAATGTAGGCAAAATGATAGCAAGAGAAAGTCTGTTGTTTTAGTTATTAATACTTCATCTATAAAACACAAATGAGAGCTTGTGGTGGAAAAGAAGCAAATATAATATTAATAATAGTAATAATCATAATTTAATTTAATTTCCCTTGGCTTTGGCCTATGGTTTCATGAGGGGTTGCCACTGCGGAAGGAACTACCAACTAATCCAGCATATGTTTTACACAGCGGTTGCCCTTCCAGCGCAACCCATCGCTGGGAAACATCCATACACACTTATTCACACACATACAATATGGACAATTTAGTTTTCCCAATTCACATATACTGCATGTCTTTGGACTGTGGGGGAAACCGGAGCACCCGGAGGAAACCCATGCTAACATGAGGAGAACATGCAAACTCCAGCTAAGACTTGAACCAGCGACCTTCTGGCTGTGAGGTGACAGACAACTGAGCTAGTGTCGCCTCTGATAATGATAATAATAGCAACAAATTAAATATACAGTAATTTAAACCATACAGTAAATTGAAATACTTTTCAAGTATTTTTCTTTAAGTATTATCATTACATTTTTATAAAAAATTAAGTATTAAAAAACAATAGTAAGTAAACAAAATAATAGTATAATACAAATTAGCAAATGAAAAATATATATAAACTGTGAATAAATATTACCAAGTACAGTACTGTATTAAGTGGGAAATCCTTAGCACTACAATGTAATGCAATATAATCTAAACATTTTTATAAATTCAGATTTATTCATTTTTCACTGTTGAAATGAGAACAAACAAGATAAACCAAGTATTAAAAATAAAATAATAATACACAAAACAAGCTTAAAACTTGTATAATGATGCCAAAAAGTAACAAATATAAAAACAATATAAAAATATAAACAATATTTTAAGCTCATTTTTTGTATTCAAGGTAAAAAAATAATTATGAATTAAAATAAAATAAAAAGAATAAAACTTTAAACTAATACTGAAACAATATAAAATAAGGTATAATTGTATATAATAAATTCATACATCAGAACTATGACAGCACAGTTATTAAAATTAAGTTAATGACATAATAAACATGATAACAAGAACTGAACAATTTCGTAAAAATTATATATAATAATATAATTTATAACTTCTGTTTTACTAATTTGTACATTAAAAATAAATCTAAAAAAATCATACAGGCACAGCATATTATACACAGAAGTGTTTTTTAAAACAATAGGAAACATTAATTTCCCAAGACATTACATACATTTCATTGATCATAATTTGAGGCTCGTCATAAAAAGGAAAAGTTCTCGCTTCAGTTCGTTGAGGTTATGAAACACTCGCGCTTTTTAATTGGGTGGATCTGCGAAAAATCGAGGTCTGGCTATCGCCAGTTCATTCCCTCAACCAATCAGAGTGCCGTCTCTACCCGCACACGTCAGTCTCCTTCTAATCTGAGCCAATCGGCGCCCGTCTTCAGCCCGCACTCGTCCTCTCCTCTTGCCTCATCCAATGGTCTTATGTGAACTTTCTTTACATTAAAAGCGTCCTACAGTTAACGCAGGTAGAAGGACTTCTTCTCACAGGTGAGTCAACAACATAGAAATCAACACTCTTAAATATTCACACGTTTGTTGTTCAGATATAATTTAATAAATATGACATTTAGAATATTTGCGCTTTTTCGAATACATGATGTAGCGTTGCTGCTGCAGAAGAGTGTAAACAAGATCAATTTCAGTATTACTGCTGGACTTCCTGTTGATTTGAGGGATTGTTTCGATAGATATTTGCTTTTGAGGGATAAACGTTTTTAGAGATTAAATATTTGTAGTTTGTTAATTGAGGTAAAGTTGGTTTTATATTCGCACATTCAGACTTTCTTCTTAATAATGTCATTTCAGAAAAGCATTATTTTCAGATTCTAAATAGGTAACGTTAAATCGCTCACATCACGCATACACAATGAATGTTTGTACGTTATTGTAATTTGTCATCTGTAATTATTTTAAAGTGTATTATGTTATGAGATTTAAGAGCCTGAACGGTTAATTAACATGGAGTAAGTTAGCCTAATATATAACCTTAATTTATGTTGGCATTTGTGTAATTCTAATTATTGTGAAGATTGTTTTGTAATGTATGGTTATTAAAATAATAAACAGAGCTGCCTAATATTTAACTTTAACCATAATGTTTTATGTGACACTTTCAAAATGTTACATAAAATACTATGGTTAAATATTAGGCTGTTCCATGTTCAGTCTCAAATCACATAAACTTTGAAATGAATACACATGATAAAATCACAATAACAAACTATTGAGGTAAAGTTGGTTTTATATTCGCACATTCAGACTTTCTTCTTAACAATATCATTTTAGAAAAGAATTATTTACAAAATGAAGAGATTACTGTAAATATGTGTAGGTTGTAATTGTTATTTTATCATCTGTATTCATTTTAAAGTGTATTATGAAGTGATTTAATAGCCAGACTGGTTAATAAACATGGAGCAGCCTAATATTAAACCATAATAATTTACACATACCTGTAGTGTTTTAGCTTATTTTGTAATGTATGGTTTTAAAATAATAAACATGGAGCCACCTAATATTTACCCATAATATTTAATGTAACACTTTTCTGTGATTAGGGCAAAGTTGGTTTTATATTCGCACATTCAGACTTTCTTCTTAATAATATCATTTCAGACAAGTAGGGATGCTCCGATCAGGATATTTTAACAGATACAGAGTGCCGATTCCTCATCATGTTGATTTGCCGATACCAAGTACCGATTCTGATTATTTAAGCTCTATATAACTATATACAGATACCGATCGATCGAGCATCCCTACAGAAAATTATTATTTGCAAATTCTAAATGGGTAAATCACTTTAGCAGCCAATGACTATCAAAGCACAACATTGTTCACAGTTGATTAAATAGTGCTAATGTTTTGAAGTGAGAAGTTGTTTTGAAGGAATGTGCGAATATGAAACCAACTTTACCTCAACTTTCCTGTAAAAAACTTTCCAGCATTTTATGTTTAATATTAGAATTATTTATAGTTATGCAACCTGAGTAGGCATGGGATGATAACTATTTTCAAGGTATACCACAGTTTGGAAAGTCAAGGTTTTTAAACTTTACCGTAAGCTTTACTGTTATTACGGTATCGATAAGATTTTTTTGTTTGCTTGTTTGCTTTTATTTTTTTAGGATAACAGTATCCCCAGCAGAAAAGATCTTCAAAGACGCCGTTTTAAATTGTAAAGAAATCTGTTTTAATGAAGACCGCAGAATCCAATGATTCATTTTAATAATTCAGCCTGACATGTTTACTGTAACAAAATATTTTTAATGTTTGTCAAAAAAAAATATATTGTGTTCAAAGGGGAAACAAGTTTTAGGTTTTTACCTAGACATTTAAAAATAATTTATTTTAGAGCAGTAATCACAAAACCGTGATATTTTTATCCAAGGTATCATACCGTCAAAATATTATAGCGGCCTATGCCTAAACCTGAGAAGCTTGTTTTGTAACGAACGATTATTAAATATTATAAAGCAAAGTTAATAATTGTGAAATTATTAAAGATTTGATTTATAATTTATTTTGTTGTTTTTGCTTTTTATTGTAAAGCTCAAATCTTAAAGGTCTAGCAGCATCTGGGCTGAATTTTTCAATATTTATTTAGTTTTATTTTATTAATAATTTTTGCATTTCAAAAAAATGTTTACATTTTATACTAGATTTAGGAATTTATTGCATTTGGATCATTTAGGTTCAGATTAGGTATCTGTAGTTTTTATTCATTTTTTGTTTATTTAGATTAAAATGAGAAACATTCAGTTTTTTTTTCTTTAATGATAAACATTTTTAAGTCAACAATATTGAACTTGAAATACATTTAACTTTGACTCAAATAATTCTGTCTTTAGGTTTACAATATGAAACCAAATATTTTTGGTTTATTTTTGAAACCAAATATTTTTGGAAACCAAATATTTTCACAATATTTATATCGATATAAAAAACTTGGACTCCAGAGTCTCTTTGAACTCATTTGACTGTGACTGATATTCATGTTTTTTTATCTAACACTTCCTGATATGATGCAGTTCAATATTAACCCAGTGTCCTTCATTCAAGCCTTTCTGTGCTACAGATATCTCATCTCTCTTCATTTGTTTTTACAGTTACTCATTCGGAGAGTCTCACTGACTCGCTGCCATGGAGGTGAACGGCACAGCCAACATCCTGTCTTCAGCTTTTCTGGCGGTGGAATTTGTGGATTCATTTCTTCCGCAAAATCCACTGCAGGAACCTTTTAAACATGCGTGGAACCACATGCTGCAGAACTACACCAAATTCCAGATTGCCACCTGGGGCTCGCTCATCGTCCATGAACTCATTTATTTTCTCTTCTGCCTGCCTGGATTTATCTTTCAGTTTCTTCCTTTCATGCAAAAGTATAAGATCCAGCCGGTGTGTTTGAAATTACTTTATATTTAGTTTTAATTTGAATACTTTTAGAATATTATTTATTAATTATTATTCATTTAACAACTTGTCATATATGTTTTTGTTGATGTAGGATAAACCAGAGACATGGGAGAAACAGTGGAAGTGCTTCAAGATGCTGCTGTTTAATCACTTCTGTATACAGCTACCGCTCATCTGCGGCACATATTACTTCACTGAGTTCTTCAGCATCCCTTATGACTGGGACACCATGCCCCGCTGGTGAGAACACAGCTCACTTTATGAGAGTGACTCTGGAGTCAGATCTTAGTTTCGGTAGTCATGTCAAAGCAGTAATGAAAACAGCACACTATCATCTCAAAAACATGGCAAGAATTAGATGCTTTGTTTCCAGTGAAGACTTGAAGAATCTTGTTCATGCTTTTGACAAAAGCAGGGTGGGTTACTGTAACGTACTCCTCACCTGCCCTCCCAAAAAGACAATATATAAGGAATATGTAGAGATGCGTAATATATCAATCAATTGAGTTTTGTCATTTCGTCAGTTTGGCTTGTTGGTTTTGTTTTCCACAAATAAGCTCTCATCAGGGTTAATGTTGTAGTTTGTTGGCCCGATTCAGCATATTGAATCAGCGTTGGATCCTCAACTGATTATTCAGCCACAAATCGAGCGCAAGTGTGACATTTTTAAGTGACATATCAAGTAGACAATTCAAGACAAGAATAATTATGAGGAGGATTGCATACAACATGAGAACAGAGGTTAATTACCGTCCAGTTGTCGAACAATGTGGAATACGTGATACATTGCAACATTTTTTTCTGATTCAGCTCTTCTTCTAGATATTTTCTTGTGGTCAAAGACAGTAAAATCATTTTAATTATAGGCCTTAAAACAAACACCACTAATCTAGGAGTGTAAAAACAAAGGCATGATTGTTTCCTGTGGAGGTAGGGTGTAGAGGCTTTCCAGCAAAGTTAGTATGGCGACTGATGTCAGCTTTAGGCATGGAAGAGAAGAGCAAGAAACATGCTAATTACAGGATGGGAAAAGAAGCAGAACGGGCTTCATGCTGGCTATGGAGTAAGAGAGAGGAGGAAAACTGGAAGCCATGAGTAGATGGGCAGTGGCTTGACCTGATGACATCTACTTGTGGCAGAAAGCTATGGTTACATAGTAGAGTAACCAAAGGAAGCACCAAAAAGGTGTATGTCACAATGTAACTTTAGTTTGAATTATTTTCATGAATCAACTTAAGCTAAAATCAAATGAGAAACATTTACTTCAACATAGTTACAGTTAATGTTAAATTGATCATTTTATCAACCTTCGGAGTTGTCAGAAAGTTTTGGTTTCGGTCACCCAATACTGTTTTCGTGTGGCCAAACAATGAAACTGCATAGAAAAAAGTGCAGTTTTAAAAATAGGGCCTCAGTCGCTTTCGTTTGTTTGGTGTGTTCATGCACAGCTTTTTAGTCCAGATACAACTTGAGGCGACAACACAATTGGGTTTCGTTGATGCTATTTGTTCTTATTTCATTTGGCTGTCATCTGTTTTATGTTTTCATGTGCAGCATTTTAGTGACCAGCGAACCTGAGGTTATTACAGAATTCAGTTTTTGTCGCCACTACCTATTAGGTGTTTAATGGATCACGGTTGATCCGTGATTTGTACGGATCACAATCCACGGCTGATCCAAAAAATGGTCCGATCAGTGCCTAAAAAACCATAATGTGATTCGAACCGTGAGACTTTTGATCCGTTACACAACTACTACCTGTAGTTCTTTGACGTCGACTTGGAGTGTCTTAAGCTTAATCACCTTTTAAAAATAACTTCAAATGAATTTTACATAAAATACAATGTTACACCAGTAGGTGGTGACAAGTAATAAATAAAAAAATAAAGTTACCAAATCATTAGATCCAGAATTATTCAAAACCACTGATTCATTAATAACAAATGTGAAGTCTTTATGAAGGAGTCATTTATTCAAAATTTATTCAGACCAATGAAAAAATAAACAATTTTTAAATTGTTTTTAGAAGACTGGTAACATAAATTTTTAGCAGAATTTGTATTGGTCTGTGAAGCTGAAGCTATGAGTAAAACCTTTTTTGAAGTTGTTTTCTTTTTTGTATTTTATCTCTCTCACCATCTCAGGCCTTTTCTACTGGCCCAGTGTTTTGGTTGTGCTGTAATTGAAGACACCTGGCATTACTTTCTCCACCGAGCTCTACATCATCGCAGAATCTACAAATACATTCATAAAGTTCATCATGACTTCACTGTAAGTTGACACACTTTCACAAATGTGTTGGTGAATCTGTTCATTTCTTCATCATGTAGTGATAACAGTCACAAACAGTGTTTAAGAGATGTAAAAAGTATGAAAATTGATTGAGATCAACAGATGGATTTTAAGATGTCTGAAGTGCAAAAGCAGTAGCTAAAAACATGTCAGTCTTTTTCTGTGTCAGTGAAATTAAGTATAAACACATGGTCATGTTCCTGAGGTTTAGAAGGAATAAAATCGAATAAGTGATGACAGAACTGTAACAGAATTACAAATGTTGAGCACAGACCAGCCATGCACATACTCTATCAATATCCTTGTTAAATAAAGAAAAAACAATAAAATGAAGAGAAATGGAAAAGAACTATAGTTTTTATAGTATAGTAGTGCATTTGCTTAATTAGCAGATATTATATATTGTTTATTGTAATAATAGGCAGAAATGGTGTCAGCGAAATTTAAATATGTACACTTTCATTATCAATTTTATGCCAAGTATTTCATTTCACAAGTCATTCAATGTATATCATTCCTTTCAATCCCCAAATGTTGGTTTCTTATTAAAATGCAGTTTTTGAACATTTAAAATTGAGTATTTTCTCGTGCTTGCCATCTTAGCCATTTTGCTTTTAACAATATATGTTAGATTGCCAGATAATTTTAAGAGTCAGTTATCTCCATTTTCAGAATGCATTATATACAGTAAATTTGAAAAGTTGTAGTTATAGTTCATTTCTTATTTAACTAACTCAAATTTAGTTACATTATAGCCTTAATAATGATTCTTGATCTATAATCTATGTTTATGTTTTAGTCTCCATTTGGCATGCAGGCAGAATATGCCCACCCTCTTGAGACTTTGATTCTGGGTGCTGGATTCTTCATTGGCATCATGGTCTTCTGCAATCATATGATCTTACTGTGGGCCTGGGTCACTTTCCGCCTGCTGGAAACCATTGATGTTCACAGGTAACTGCACTGCAAATATGTGAAAGAGCTGTAGTCTGGATCAATGTTTTGCTAAGTCTACACAGAATTGCTGATAATTACTTACTGCGCCACAAGGGGACACTATATTTAACAATAATGCTTATTTGATACACAGCTAAATATCGTCACATATAATAATAGTTCTAGGACATTTGTTTATTAAAATCAGGGTGTCTGTGGTGTCCTAAAAAGTTAATAAATCAATGTAGAGAAATATATGGGCCCTTAAAAAGTATTAAAAAGCCTTAAATGCTATTTTGCAAGGTATTAAATTTATATCATTTTTGATTATGCAGTGTATGGTTGTATGCTAAAGTTTGGCTCAATTATGCAAATATCAAGATGCTGTGTAGTTTATGAAATCAATGAAATCCTGCTAGATTTGACATCATGCTGCTTTGTTAACTGCAGAAACCAAGACAACAGCATTATTTCTGCAGATCTATAGGCACAAACCTGCTGAATTAGCTAGATTTAATAGATTTGTATCCAGTATATGAACAAAGTTTTAGTATAATGTTTTAGTCTTTGCCTCTACCCAGTCACACACAGTAAATGCTGTATATAATGTTTTTTTTATGGTATATATGAGCAATATCACACTTGTAGCAGTGCGATGTGGCTGTAAATCCCATTGCTGAGAGACGTGCATTGGCCGAGTGCCTTAGTGTCCCACCAGTGACGATATACAGCCACACTGCTACGAGTGTGATATTGTGTTTATACAACAGTTTGATGGCAGAATTGTGAGAAAAAAAAAGAAAATCAAACACGGAGAGTCTAAAAACCCTTTTGTAATAGAAACTACTTTCTTCTGCCATTCATTCACATTTACTGACTTTGGAGCTAGTATTTGTATGATTCTCTAGCATAATGTCTAAAGTGATGACAAAACAGATGATTTTGCTCACATTTTAAGATTGCGAGGCTCAACGGCATGAAATCCATCCGTCAACAGAGATATCTCCCAGTATTTCTCTGTTGCAATCGTGAGATCACAATATTACTATGGTATAAATAGCGCACTACAACATACAAATGAGAGAGATCGACTTAGAATGTCATTTACTGGTTTGATAATGATTTAATCAGCCGTAGTTTGGAAATGAGGATGTTTTTCTCTAAGGGCTTATTATGCGGCCTCCTTCGCCATCTTGTGGATAAACATTGTCAACCATCATTTCTCAAAGACAGGCTAATGGCCCCCTAAGCGTTGTGTCTCAGAAATGCTAAATATTTAAAATACGCACTATCCTTATAAATAAACTACATAGTTGCAATCTAAACAACTACATTCTCACCTAAAAAGCCCTAAAAGTACATTATGTTGTCCAACAGCAGGAATATTTGTCAAACTGTAGAGCGTCCTCTGCTTGTTGCTGGGTGGAGTAATATACAAGGGTGAAGGGTTAAAAGGCTGGACGAGTGCTATAGAATATCGCACAACTATCAGCAAATCAGATTCAAAAACCAGACAGAACTATTGTATAAAATGCTATATACTCAATTTCAAAAAATGATTATCACCGAAGCTGTCTATACAGAGGGCTGTGTAGTAATGGATTATATCTATAATCTGGATTATGCTATCTGATTCCTAAAAAAACAAGTATTTGTAATAAGAGTAATTTTTAAAGGGTCATGAAACCCCCCCATTTCAGCAGGGTTTTTTCACACCTCTTCTTTGAAAAAAGTCAGGAAAGTGGGCGTGTCCAGCTCTGTTTTAAGGGGCAGTGTCGAAGGAGCAAAAGAGGGAAGGTCTGTAAAAATTAGCATAAAAATGGGAGTGTTGTGTAGGCAAAACAAACACAGACGCAGAAGAGAAAGACAGTGACTGTGTTTACATGGACATCAGTAATCGAATTATTTGACAAATTATTAAATGGTGGACTTTACTGCAGTTTAACTCTTTAATTCAGTTTAATTCAGGAATTTCATTCATGCCCCTCATGACAAACGAGATATTTGATTCGAGGAACTTCTCTAAGCGTGTACTTTTTTATGCAATGTTTTGTTACAGCACAGCGAATGAGAGAATAAAAACCTCTGCATTTCAGAAAGCCGTGTGTGTTATTCCGGTCTCAAAATGCAGCAAAAATCCTACACGACGGAAATAGTTTGATTGTGGTGCTAACATGTTTACACTCGGAGAGCAGCATTTACAGCGGATCTTTCAGTCCATAATATTGTAGTGATATTAAAGGTGCAGTAGGTGATTGTCTTCAGAAACATTTTTTGTTGTGCTGGTTGAAAGTCTCTTCACAGTCCAATAGTAATGATTACAGTAAATGATCTAAATGTGTTTATATGTATTTTTATATTCTGGGTAAAGCATAAAACAAAAAAATGTTCATCCAATTAAATAGAGTCGGACCGTCATCTCTCTTAATTCTTATAAGCTAGTCAGACTGTCTGTCAGCAAATGTAGATTCCGACTTCTGCGCATCTGTTCACGCAGATCTTTCATTAGCGCGTGCCCGTCTGCATCACAAACGCATGCGCGCGAGCGAGCTGCGGGCCGTTCGCAGATGCCGAGTCGGAGCCGGAGGCGCAGAAGGACAGCCGAGCTCGGGCGATTACTGTAAAGCCAGGCGCGGGTTTCGCTCTTAAAGCGGCCGCGCGGTCACGAGACGGACTGGGAGAAATCAAAAGCTGAATTGAAACTTTTAAATACCTGAATCAATATTGGAGTTACTTTAGCACGCTGGAGGAAGGACGACACCATGGCTGAAGTATTACTGTTATGGTAATGTTCTGTTTTGAAACTATTTTATGTTAGATTGTGTTGTGTTATGAATGACTTATATGCACAGACGTGTTGTTCAGCCACTGAAATCTCCTGGTGAAAGATTGATGTGATTATTTTCAGTTTCATAAGGTTCTTTGACAGCATCTATAATGTAGATTTATATTTAGTTTAACAACAAAACATCAGTAAATAGCGCTACTTCGCCTAGCCTGCTTTAATGAGCTGAAGTCGCTTATATATTCACATTGGGTCATTTTTGAACAATGACAGCCTTCCTATACTGTTGACCATGCTACTCTGAATATTCGCTCTGAAATAGCATGTAAGTGTGGCTAAGTAATAAATGTAATTGATGCACAGCTCTGGCACTAACTAACTGGCGAATGACGTGAACTAGTGGGTTGTCTGTCGGCTGTTGCACGCGTGCGATTTCAAGGGGTGTGGCTTTGAATCACAGTCCCTCCCCGCCGTCCAAAGATAAAATGCTAAGCGGTTAGCTTTTTGGTAGATCACCTACTGCACCTTTAACAGACGGTAAACTTTAGTAACTTAGAAATTATTTGACTAAGGTCCGTCTTTAAACACTGAAAGAGTACTGCTGACAATACAAACTAGCTTTACCTCTGAAAAAAAGAAACAAAAACCACTGATCGCTCACTTACCAAATCTGTAGAGACAGGACGATCAACACCAACTGGAGCCGCGTCTTTATTAAAAGGAGACGAGTGGCAAATGAGGATTTCACCATTTCCAGATGAGAAAAGCTCTTGGGTAAACAATGCTCCTTAGACACATAATCTTGTCGAGCGTAGCGTGCGCTGTAATCCACACGTGAGTCCAGCTGTGCTCTCATAGAGAGAAAATGAAAACAAAACCTTCATTGCAGCAAATTAAAAAAGCAACACTACACGCTTGTTTTGGCAACACAATGTAGCGTGTCTCTGCCGTCTGAACACTGTAACTGGTAAAAACAGTCTTCGAAGCTATCATGCATATTAATAAAGTTGCACCACATACACAATAGGGCGCACTGATTGGTTTGAACCAAGTCTTACTCATGAATGAATGCAGCACACTCAGAGACGTAATAAGGCACTCCCAGGTCCAGTCTACACGCTGGAATACACTCTAAGATCTCATGGCCATGACGCAAATTCAAAAATTGGTTTCAAACCAGGAAGTACGAATTTGCTCGAAATAACGCAAAAACAACCAATTTTCACTTTTTTGTGAAATATATGTATCCTAATAGTGTTTTTAGCAGCATGGGACACATAAATAACTGTCAACAGCTCAAAAAATGTGTTTTGGTGTTTCGTGACCCTTTAAAATACTTGTAATCAGACTATGCGACTCTGGCTCTATTAATAAAATGAAAAGACATAATTCTAGTTAATATTTATTGCATATTACACTCACCGGCCATTTTATTAGGTACATCTTATTACTACTGGATTGAACCCCCTTCAGAAGTGCCTTAATCCTTTGTGGCATAGATTCAACAAGGTACTGGAAATATTCCTCAGAGATTTTGGTCTATATTGACAAGATAGCATCATGCAGTTGCTGCAGATTTGTCAGCTGCACATCCATGATGTGAATCTCCAGTTCCACCACATCCCAAAGGTGCTCTATTGGATTGAGAACTGGTGACTGTGGAGGCCATTTGAGTACAGTGAACTCATTGTCATGTTCAAGAAACCAGTCTGAGATGATTCACGCTTTAAGACTTGATGCGTTATCCTGCTGGATATAGCCATCAAAAGATGAGTACACTGCAGTCATAAAGCGATGGACATGGTCAGCAACAATACTCAGGTAGGCTGTGGCGTTGACATGATGCTCATCTGGTACTAATGGGCCCAAAGTGTGCCAAGAAAACATCCCCCACACTATGACTACGAGCCTGAACTGTTGATTCAAGGCAGGATGGATCCATGCTTTCATGTTGTTGACACCAAATTCTGACCCTACCATCTGAATGTCACGGCAGAAATCGAGACTCATCCGACCAGGCAACGTTTTTCCAATATTCTGTTGTCTAATTTTGCTGAGCCTGTGTGAATTGTAACCTTAGTTTCCTGTGTTAGCTTAAATTGCGTTAATGAGCAGTTGGAAAGGCGTACCTAATAAAGTGGCCGGTGAGTGTATTGAGATATAGTAAGTGCATTTAAAAATTATACTTTCAACTTAAAGTTTGCCATGTTTAAAAAAAACATTCTAAAGTATGCTTCATGTGCTTCAAGTTCATGTTGTTATTCACAGTTTTGACCACCAGGTGTCCCTAGCATATGCTATAACCACAGAGTGTATTTAAAGTTGATTGATGATTGTTTGTTTAGAGGATGTTTTATATTGCTTCATTTTTTCACATTCCATTCCCTCTTTTACCCTCTTTAGTGGTTACGACATTCCTCTGAACCCCCTGCATCTGATTCCATTTTATGCTGGAGCTCGTTTTCATGATTTCCACCACATGAATTTTGTTGGCAACTATGGCTCTACATTCACCTGGTGGGACAGACTTTTCGACACCGATTCCCAGTTCAACAAACATTACTCGCATCATAAAACTGTGAAGAGCGACTGAACAGCAGAAATCACACACAATGATGCTTCACCATCATCTAAAATCTCTCAGCTCTTATGGACTTCTCTTTGGCCTTTGGTTGGTCTGATGCCCCCCGCTGCACACGTTCATTGTAAAGTATTTAATATTGGACTGAATGATTTTAAATCATTTCCAGATTCTTAGAGAATATGTGCCTTTGAGATGGGAAAACGTCCCACAAACAACTTTAGACCACTGGTCACAGTACTCCAACAGACTGGTTTTCAGGAATTGTGCCTGTTTTCTGTGCTTTCCATTATTACAATCATTCTTCGGTTTCAAATAATGATGACATCATTCCCTAAAAGCACTTTACTTTCACCTAAACAAAGATGCAATGTTTTAAATTGTTATTTTTGTAATGGCTTATTTTGCTTTGTTGCCTTACACGATTTATTTTCTTGCAAAATTTCTTTATTTTGTGACTGTACACGATGACAACACAGAGAATGTTAATGTACAATATGCAACATTTATCAAATCATTCTGTTTTATGGTTCATGAGGGTAAAAGCTAATTTATTTGTTAGCTTGTTCATTTGAAGGCAACTTAAAAATAATAATAAATAAAAATAAAAACAGATTTACAAGAACATTGACATTGGTTGCACTCTATGTGTAAATGTGTATGTGCAGTTGAAACCAGAAGTTTACATACACTCTAAAAAAAGCAACATAACCATTAAAAAAAATATGTCTAATGTTAAATCATTCTAAATGTTTACTGTTTTAGGTATGATAGGATTACCTAAATTATTTACATTTGCTAAACGCCAGAAAAATGAGACAATTTTTTTTTTGTTGAGAATTTTCTATTAATTTCTAGACAGTCAAAAGTTTACATAGATTTGCTTGGTATTTTTTAGCTTTGCTTTTAAACTGTATTACTTCAAATGTTTTGGGTATCCTTCCACAAGCTTCTCACAATAGTTTGAAGGAAGTTTGTCCTATTCTTCCTGACAGAATTGGTGTAACAGTGTCAGATTTGTAGGCTGTCTTGCTCGCACAAGCTTTTTCGACTCTGCCCACAAATTTTCTATAGGATTGAGATCAGGGCTTTGTGATGGCCACGCCAAATCATTCACTCTGTTGTCCTTAAAGCAAATTTTAACTAATTTGGCAGTATGCTAAGGGTCATGGTCTGTTTGGAAGACCCATTTGTGGCCAAGTTTTAATTTTCTGGCTGATGTATTGAGATTTTGCTTCAGTATTCTACATAATGTTCGTTCTTCGTGATGTCCCTCCTGCAGCAAAACAGCCCCAAAACATGATGCTACCACCCCCATACTTCACAGTTGGGATGGTGTTCCTAGGCTTGTAAGCTTTTCTCTTTGTCCTCCAAATGTAACACTGGTCATTATGGCCAAACAGTTGCATCAGACCACAGGACATGTCTCCAAACATTAATCTTTTTCCCAGTGTTGTTTAGCAAATTGTAATCTGACTTTTTTGTTGATTCTGGCTTGTTAATTTTCCCATGTTGTCACAAAAGGAAGCAGTGTGTTTGAGGTTTTCCTTAAATACTATTTTACAGTTGTGCCTCCAATTAACTCAAATGTTCTTCCAAAAACGTCCAAAACTTTGACACCATCATATGTTTTTTTTTTCAGAGGCATAATAATCTTATTGTATGTAAACTTGACTTTTAAGAAAAGTTCGAACAATTTCTCAAAAAGTAAGTCTCTCATTGCTCTAATGCTATTAAGCGTAAAAGAAACTAATTTGATAATCCTAACTTACCTAAAAGAGAAAAAGTTTAGTCACATTAACATCTTTTTTAAATGGTTATGTGTCTTTTTATACAGTGTATGTAAACTTCTGGTTTTAACAGTGTATGTAAATGCATTTACATTTAGTCATATAGCAGACACTTTTGTTCAAAGAGACGTACAATTGAGAAATTCAGCGAACATTGAATGAGAAGGTTCTGGAAAGCAACTTCTAGCCTCTCTGTGAATGCACCATAAGGCGGCACTCATTCACCAACTGGAGGCAATGTAGGCCTTTAGGAGAAGGTGCAGTGCCAATGGCTGTCCTGTAACAAACATCAATTATTTGAATTTGACACGAGCCTCGACGGGCTGGAAATGACACAGGCTCAGGCTAAGACAAGACAATGTAGAATTGACATCATTGTGAAAAAAAATATTTCTCAGATTTTATTTATCTTTAAACAAAAAGTGGCATGTCCAAAATTATTCATAACTTTGCAAACGATCATAGTCTATGGGTAAATCCAAAGTTCTATAAAAAGTTTGACACTGCGAAAAATCTCAAAGGGTGTGGTCAGAAGTTGAAAGGGACACGTGTCCTGGCCTGGAGGATAATGAGAGGGGTAAAAAAAGAACAAGTAGAAAAGGAAAAGAAAGTTTGGCACTGTGAAAAAAGAATTCAAGGATCACCAGCTAGGCCATCCCAATGAATCTGGGCTCTGCTGATGGCAGCATCTCAAGGCAGAAAGTCCAACGGACACTGCACACCGCTGGGTTTTACTAGTCTGCCACAAACCAAGGAGGACACCACTTCCCCAGAGAAGGCACACAAAGGTCCGCTTGGCCTTTGCAAATGCCCATTTAAACAAAGAAGACTTCTGGTATTCTGTTTTATGGTCAGATGAAATAAAGATTGTTTGGCCACAATGATGTAGCCTTAATTTGGCGTAAAAAAGGAAAAGCCTTCAACCGCACACTGTAAAAATTTAAAGCCAGTACAACAAAAACATAATCCTTATTTCCATTCACTTTTTCTTGTTCACTCAATTTTTGAAAACATCAGCTGCGCTGACCTCAAATAATTTGTCAGTAATACAAAAAAACATTTAGTTGGGTTAACATAAGATTATTAGTTTTCTGGTGAAAGAGGTGAACTACTCTGTAACAAAAGTTTTTAGGTTGTGCCAACTGTACATTTTTTGTGTGCAGAATTGGAATGCCTGAAATTGAGTGAACAAAAAAAAAATACATACTCCTTATTTCCTTTTGTTTTTTCTTGTGTATTCAATTTTTAAACACATCAGTTGCACTGACTTAAAATACCCTTAGTTCAATGAACAAAAAAACTTTGGAAATTGGAACTAAGAAATAATACATTATCAGAACAAACTAACATAGTTCAATTGACAGAAACAAAACAGATACAACTATACAAAACATTTATTAGACACAGAATTACAATAACAATACTTACAATAACAGTAAGACAAGGATCAAAACATGGCAGGACAAACAAGAAAACCTACTTTATAATGATTCACAGGGAAAACAAGACTCAGCAAAGAGTCTGTGTGAATGAGGTGTCTTTATATTCCTAGAAATCAGTCCATCATAAGCTTCCAGCTGTGAAACTAGTTCCTCCATCTGGATTATAGTTTAAGCATTTGATTTGTCATTTAATTACTACAGGATTTTGCTTAGTTGTTTATGGAATATAAATATCAAATACATTTGATTTCTCATCTGAGAATGCATTTTGATTCATTATTCGATCATTTGAGCATTTGATTTCTCATTTGGTAGTTGTTATTATTAATGGTGTTACTGTTATTTTTTTGTCATTTTTGTTAGGGTTAGAAATACTGCAACCTTTTTTTTTCAAGTGAGGAGGTCTGAGATTAAACTTAAAGTAACAAGTTAGCAGAAGCTTTTTTTGGGTAAACTTGCATGGTTTTGCTCACAAAACGAATCTTTTTAACTTAATGAAGAAAAGTTTAATTTAGGTTAAGTAAACGTGTTAAATGTAGTCGTGCTGACATTTTTACAGATTTTGCCCAACCAACAACAACAACAAAAAAACAACAACAAATAATTTTAACTTTTTTCAAGTTGGATATTTTAGTGTAATAACAGCATTCCCCACTGTCAAACATGTAGGTGTAAAACATGAAAACTATTTTGGTGGGTGTTTTCAGCCAGTGGACCACGGAATCTAAGTAAATGGTACCATAAAAAAGGAGCAATGCCTCAAAATTCTCAATAACAACATCAGACAGCCTACAGAGAAACATGGCCAGTGGACATTTCAGTACGACAATGACCCAAACACACAGCAAAGGTGGTATAGAAAAGGTTAGCAGACAAAATCCTTAATACTTTGCAGTGGCTCAGCCAGAGTCCTGACTTAAACCCAATTGAGAATCTGTGGAGAGAGTTAAAGATCAGGGTGATGGCAAGGAGATGCTTCAGGTGTCGTGGACGTAGAACTAAAGTGAAGAGCGGGGCTTTGTCGCGACGAAAGTAAAGAGGGTTGGGGAGACGTAGAAAAAAAGTGAAAGTGAACAGCGGAGGGGGGAGGAGGGCGGTTGAGGAGGGGGATCGGTAAAATGAGGTGCTGGATCAGATCCGGCGTGTTTCGGCTCAAATTGAGCCCTGGAAATAGTTGAGCTCATCTCTAAAGATGAAAAGACAAAAATACAACTGGAGACATGTAAAAAGCTGGTCAGCAATTATAGGAAGAGTTTGATTGCTGTAAACAAACAATACAATTTTTTCTGTTGATTATTGAGGGTGTGAATAATTTTGAACATGAGCACTTTTTGTTCAAATGTAAATAAATAAATATATATATTTTCCCACAATGATAGAATTGTTCAAATGTTCATTCCTAATTGAACATTGTCTTATCATTTGGTAGAACCGTAGAAGCCTGTCATTTCCAGTCAAAAAAAAAACAAAACAAAAAAAACTTGCTGATTGAATAAAAGTATCTTTAAGTCCGAATTTTCTAGGGGTATGAATAATTTCGGGCTTGACTGTATGTATATCAGCATAAATGAGTGCATTCCCTTTTGAAAATGAATATTTTGATCAATTTCTTAATGATTATAAATAATATATTTAAGTGCATTGAAACAAAACAGTTCAATCGATTAAATCAAGAATTTGGTCACCTAACATCTCACATTCAAACAAGTTATTGCAAGAAAAAAGGCAACAAAAAAAAGCCTCTCTTTACTGATAAACATTTCATTGAATATTTTCCCCAACATATTCATATGGGTCTACTTTTTGCATTGTGATCCTAGATTTTTGTTAAATTAGCTCCAGCTTTGTCTTTGGTACTGACTAATGTATATGCACAAAACACATTATTATAGCCTATATAGCAGCAAATAAAAAACATATTCATTTAAAAGACTTGTAAGGGGTGTGCGCATTTATGTTGAGCACTATACACACACACACACACTCTCTCTCTCTCTCTCTCTTCATGAGGTTGTTGATTAGTTTCATCTTGCCCATTACATGTTGTGTAACAGTACAGGCGACACGGTGGCACGTTCACCTCACAGCAAAGTTGCTGGTTCGAGCCTCAGATCAGTTGGCGTTTCTGTGTGGTGTTTGCATATTCTCCTCGTGTTCATGTGGGTTTCCTCCGGGTGCTCCGGTTTCCCCCACAGTCCAAAGACATGCGGTACGGTCAACTGGGTATAGACTAAAATTGACTGTAGTGTATGAGTGTGTGTGTTTGAATGTATGCACTATTTTAAACACCATATAATTTAAAAATATATAATAAATAAAATGAGATAATAAAATACGTTCTGTAGAATTTTTAAACTAATACATTTTTCAAAATGTTTTAAATGTAGTTTTTAACCCAACTATTCAACATTAATCAGCTGTGTTAATGTATACGGTAATGTAGTTTTTACTTTTAAACATTTTTTTTAAATATCAACCTACTACAATACTTTTATGCATGGTAGTCTTCTCAGGTCACTGTCAAAGGTATTTTTTACGTAAGGACAATGTAAATCGCTCACAAATATATGTGACCCGTTCGTCTTGTCATAAGCCACGCCCCTGCTGTATAATGTGAGCACAATCTCACTCGCGCCCCTGCGGCTAAACAGGTAGTCAGGACTCGCGCAGACGCACGCATCACGTCACGACACAGAACAGAAACGAGAGAAAGAAGCGGACAGCGCAGAAAACAGGACGGACATCAGTACCAAAAGACACAGACGAGAAATACGCGACAGGCAGATAAGCGCCGAGTGTCTGGAGAGCGATGAGGGCGGCGGTGTTTTGCGGGGCTGTGTTGATGCTCGCACTGTCCTCGGTAAAAGAGGCTGAGGGCGAAAACGGAATTTCCTTTGAGTACCACCGCTATGAGGAAATGAGAAAATCGTTAGTATCTGTGTGGCTGCAGTGTCCATCCATCACCCGCATCTACACTGTAGGAGAGAGCTTTGAGGGTCGCGAGCTGCTCGTGCTGGAGATGAGCGACAATCCCGGGATACACGAGCCTGGTGAGAGAGAGATGCTCATTCATTATGGCAGATTATAACAGGCCTGTAAAAGCAACACTGGTTTATATTAAATATAAAAAGCACTCAGGATGATCAAATATTGAAGCATGAAGTATCAGAAGCAAACATTTTCCCTTTGCGTGCCTTATTCATCCATTCTTCATGGAATTAGACCAGACCCTTAATCAATGTCCAATCAATAATGGAGGATCGCCTTTCCACTGAAAACACCTTTGTCGTATTGTAATGTTTTATGTAGCCTATTTTACCCTTTTGAAGAATATATATTTTAAATAGCACATCCCATACTGCAGTTGATACAAAAATCTGGAAAAAACTGTCTCTGTTCTCTTAGCTAACGAAGGCATCCACTAAAGCCACTGACAATCGTGTTTTTTTTTAATAGTTAGGGATAATTCGTATTGAAATCCAACAGATTGTATCAGTAACTGTTTTACGTGCTCAAAGTGGTGTTTCTTCAAGTGATTTTGAAGTGTTTGATCGTGTTTATCCCTCGATGTCAGTCTGTGGATGCGGTGATGCGCAGGTGTGTGCGCGTGCTCTCGGAGATATGATGACAGCAGCTCACTGTGCTCCTGGACGCCATTTTGCGAGAGTTGCAGAATGAATTTGTAATCGCAGATCAATTACATGCTCATATAAACCGTTTACTGTCCAGCTTCTCATCGAACGTACAAAAAATATCACAGGCCTGTAGCACACCTGGTGAAAGAGGTGGTTCATATAACTAAAAATATGGACCTTTTTGCAGTTATATGCCTCATTTTCTGTTTAATTATGCGATTGGAATACTGCATTTTAGTGACCTTTTCTTTTTAGCTGAATTAGCTTGTTGGGTGGTCATCATAACCACAGTTCATTCATTTTCCTGTCGGCTTAGTCCCTTTATTATTCAGGGGTCGCCTCAGCAGAATGAACCGCCAACTTAGCCAGCATATGTTTTACGCAGCGGATACCCTTCCAGCCGCAACCCAACACTGGGAAACACCCATACACCCTTGCATTCACACACATACACTACGGCCAATTTAGCTGATTCAATTCACCTATAGCGCACATCTTTAGTCATGTCCGCGTTTATTATAGGCATGTCTTTGGACTGTGGGGGAAACCGGAGCACCCGGATGAAACCCATGGGGAACATGGGGAGAACATGCAAACTCCGCACAGAAATGCCAACTGACCCACTGGCATGAATCAGCGACCTTCTTGCTGTGAGGCGATCATGCTATGCACTGCACCACCATGCGCCACCATGTACCAAAATATTTTTTAAAGATTTAGAATAGAGAAAAATAAATAAATACTTATTTTTAAATTGCAAATTTTATATATCATTAGAAAAATATATGAATAATATATTAGGCAAAAAACAAACTGGCCAGCACATTCAACTTTTTCCTGGTCAGAATTTGGCTATTTTTATAATAAAAAATGTAAACATAATAATAATAATAATAAAGGAGCTTCATGCTTTTTCTAGCCTCTCTTTTAAAAAAAAAAACTACATTTGAATGAAAATTCTTGGATAACAAAAACAGCCAAATTAGTATTCATATTATATTAATTTTATTATGGTCCGCTTCCGGTGCTTCACACCTTTTATCAGTCAATTTTCGTTTTCAAGAATAGGTCCAAGACGTAGAATAAAATTTACTGGTAAAATGTTTTCTCTTTTAAAAAACAATACAATAGCGAAAGATTACTCAACTTACATTCAATTATATGTTTTCTTGCACTGCTGGATGTTGGAATCATGAAAAATAATAGTTTGCATTAGCCAAAACTGATTAGCTGGCAGCTAGCTCTCTGCAACTCTCACATGGTTGTCCGCTAAGCAGGGCTGTGCCTGGTCAGTGCACTAAATAGGAGACCACATGGGAAAGCTAGGTTGATGCCGGAAGTGGTGTTAGTGAGGCCAGCAGGGTGCGCCCAACATGTGGTCTGTGTGGGTCCTAATGCCCCAGTATAGTGACGGAGACTCTATACTGCTCAGTGAGCGCCGTCTTTCGGATGAGATGTTAAACTGAGGTCCTGACTCTCTGTGGTTGTTAAAGAATCCCAGGATGGTCTTCGCAAAAGAGTAGTGGTTTAACCCAGGCCTCCTGGCCAAAAAAGCTCTGAGTTGAATTTGAGGAATTAATAATTAACAATTAGATTTTCCACTGGGTTATTTTAACAATTTATGATGGTGTAGCAGCTAAAATAGGACAAATGAGCTATTGTATGGGACAAATTCTGGATTTTTGTCATTAAGGGCTGGGTCTTTCAAACCACCCGAACCCCCCTGGATACGGGCCTGTACATGATTAATGTTATCTTATTAGCTTAACTGTAGGCCTGCAAAGTAGTGATGAATAAGCCTCCAATTGCTCAAATGCAGGGCAGGAAGCAATGTTGGCTTGGATTACAGTTTTTATTCAGAAAAATCTTAAAGGGATAATTCACCCAATAACAAAAAGGCTAATCATTTACTCACCCTCACAATTCTGATTGAGGCTATTTTGTTGAGCACAAAGGAAGTTGTTTTGAAAATTGTTTGAAGCCTGTAACCATTGACCAAAATGGTAGTTGTTTTTCCTACCATGGAAGTCGAGGATTACAGGTTTGTGACATTCTGCCAAATATCTTCTTTTGTGTTCAGCAGGAAAAAAAAGAAAAATTCAATAATATAAAACCACTTTATTATATTTGGGATTGCATTTTTTTTAAGTGAACAATCCCTTTAAGTTTTCCAAAAAATATTGCGATAAACTATCATTTGGTTTGTGTTATCAAGGCCTTTAAAGGCTCATGAGGTTTAAATATTTGATCATCTGAAGCTTTGTTTACTGATTAGTTCATTTAAGGTTCTATGTTTAGATTTTGGATCTACTCTGTTACAGTCTGGAATTAGGCTGTGGGATTAAGTTAATCACTGAAGACCTCATAAACTCAAACCTACATAGCAATGCATCAGTTATTTAAGAGAGTTCACTTGTGTTCTGGCTTCAGTGCATGCTTACTGAAGCTACTGTATGTGTACCATCTATTATGATAGTACATGTTGGCTCATCTCTTTCTACGAAATTAATTTCTTTATGTTTAAACTTTAGATAAGAGTTTAAAGCACAAACTCTGCATGACTTTTAAATCCTGAACAGATACAAGCACAGTTTTTTCTTGTACTTATAGAGACGTTAAAGTTGTAAATTAGCATTACTTAAAACATTAGGTATAAACTAACAGATCTGTTATTTAAGTTTATTGATAATTATATTTATAATATGATTTATTATACATATTAACACATTATTAACATAATACAAAGTAGGGCTGCACAATATTGGAAAAAAATGATTTTGAGAAATGTTATTTTTGTGCAATAAATTTTGTGATATTAATACAGTTTCACAAGATAGTTTAAATAGCTCTTTTTAATGTTTTTCTGGGGAGTCCAATAGGCATGGGACAGTATTATTCTAATGGTATGATAACCTTGGATAAAAATATCATGGTTTCACAGTGATTACTGCTCTAAAATATGTTCTTTTTAAATGTCTGGGTAAAAAAACTAAAATTTGTTTCCTCTTTGAACACAATATATATTTTATTTTGAGAAACATTTAAAATATTTTGGAGCAGTAAACATGTCAGGCTGAATAATTAAAATCAATCACTTCTGCTCTATGCAATAGTTTCAAAAACACAGATTTATTTACAATTTAAAACGACATATTTGAAAGATCTTTTCTGCTGGTGATACTGTGGTCCTAAAAAAGAAAAAAAAAGAAAAAGAAAAAAACGTACACACTATAGGAACAGTATAGTAGAAAATTTTGGTGGTTTTAAAATCTGCAGTATACCTTAAAAACAGTAATCGTCCCATGCCTAAAGTTCAATGAGGTACAGAAAATTAATAATCACGATGCAAACAATGCTTTTCTCACCATGTCTCGTTTCCAGTCTCAATATCATAAAAATCTTAGAGCAAGTAAAAATATTGTTTTTTTTATATAATTGAAATTTTTTTTTATTATTAAAGCAAGCAAAAATATCTGCCAGTGAGGTACAGTACAAAACAAGACAACAAACAAGACTGAAATTCACTTTTTTTTTTGCATGTATCATATTAACTCCATATAAATTCAGTAAATAAATAAAATTTTGTTTCTCCTCCTTGACTTTAATCCAGACTCAACATTGCTCATCTTTGCAATGTGACTATTGCAGATGCACACATTGCGATTTCGATGCTGAAACGATAAATTGTGCAGCCCTAATATAAAGGAGAAATATTACCTCTTAATATATAATAGACTTTTCATATTAGTAATAAATATCAATGACATAATATTACATTTATAAATATTAATGCATTAGATATGAACAACTGTAATGGTAAATAACACATTAAAAGCATTTAAGCTCATTGTAAAATTCTAAAACATGTTTTATAATTTCTATTATCGCCAAAAATAAAAAGAATAATAACAATTCATAAAAATATTATATATATATAATTATATATACTTACTCCCAGGGTCGTTTATATTAAAGTTGATATTCAGCCATTTGGTTGGGACCAGAGGACCCTGAGGAATTCCACGCTAACACGGGGAGAACATGCAAACCTCACACATAAATGCCAATTGACCCAGCCAAGGCTCGGACCAGTAACCTCCTTGCTGTGAGGCGATTGTGCTACCAAAGCAGCTTAACATAGTTCGAGTAAAGTCCAGATTTCACTACCACAAGGATATTGGTACCGACATTTAATGTTAATAATAAGATTATTACCTCTGAAGGACGATAAAAATATATACAAATATTTGATATATTTAACCATACCAATAATATTTGTATTAAAATATTTTAATTTAAGATAATTAATTTCAATAACAATTAGAATTATAGATTAAGAAATGCTGAAAATCTGTCTGTTGTTAGTTCATGAAACCGAATAGGTTAAAGGTCCTGTGAAGTTCTTGGAAATATGC